TCTCTGCATCCTCTCAGAGAAGGGTTCATGACTTTGGGAAAGGGATTAGCCTCCTCTCCTTTTTATCATAGAATCCACAGAATGAAGGAGTTTGAGGAGAGAGGAAGGGATTTTAGATATGGACTAGATAGTCCAAGAATTAGACTGGAATATTCCAGACTGCTTAGCTGGGCCATTGTCACCAATGTCCACATTCCATGGGCCCAGATTCTTAACACTCACTCTCCCTCTGGGATTAGGTCTTCCACAAACCACATGCAGACACACAGCTGACACCGTTGAGAAAAGCAAGTCATACCTTTCAATTATATTATATTAAGATTCCACTCAACATTAGTAAAAATATGACTAGCTGCAAAATCATAATCTTCATCACCATCAATAGCATTTTCTGAATACTTACAGGCTTCATACTTGAACTTTACATGTACTATATATCAAGTCTTCACAACACCCTTTTGAGGCAGATACTGTTGTTATTCCCATTTTCACAAAGGTTTGGAGAGGTTAAGTGCCTTTCTAAAGTAACTGCGAGGAAATAATATAGTCTCCCTTTCAACCCAGGCAACCTAACCCCCAAGCCCACACTCTAAACCATAAAATCACACAGCCTACCCCAGGAACATGGGTATATTCACTTTACACCCAACACAGCAGTTTTCCATATATGGTGATTCCATGGTGAAGTCTGAAACTCCAGGTGACTTCACCAGACCAAGGCTTCTTTACCAAATGACAGTAGTATGTGCTTAGAGTACACAGTTAACTTTATTAATACTAGCCTGACCACAGCATAATCCACCAAATAAATCTTAAGGCACAAATATTCCTAACTTTGCTTATTTGTAGGGGAAATCTAGTTTATTTATAAATGAAAATGTATATTCCATGCCTCTGGAAAGCTCAGTTTTGAAGCTCTGTTTATTTGGTGTTTTGGTTTGGTCTTTCACCTTAATATCCAAATCCCACCCCTCTAGAAGAAAAAGGAGGAGGAGAAGGAAGACGGGGGATGTACAGGCATGAATTCTCCACCTCCTATCTAGCATAGCACCAGTGGGCATATTTGTTTCTTATGTGTGGACTTCAGACTGATGAATATAATAACCGAAGATTAGCATCGTTACACAAGACTAAATTCTTTGAACTATGGACCTTGTTTCATTGAATAAAAAATTCTTATGGTTCAAACTTCAATTGGTAGGATTTAAGCAAGGCAAACTTGAGCTTGAGAAGACTTCCAACACCCTCTCGGCCAAGGATTTCAACCTCCAGTGCAGGTGACGAGAACGGGTGAAGCAAAGCAGGCCGAGAGCGACAGCGGGGAGGGCTGGAGACTGGGGCAGCCTGCGGGTCCGGCCGCGCCACAGGGCGCACTGGCACTTAATACCAGCCAGGGCTGCATACCCTCCCCCAGATTGTCAAGCAAGCCCAGATAACCATGTTTTCCGTGAAATGTATAAGAAATTTCTGTTTATAAAGTTCTACTTACAAAACTTACTAAAGGCCAAACAGAACATGTTAGCAGGCCACATCCAGCCTAAAATTTCTTGAACTGGTAGAAGACAAAAGTAAAGTCCAGAGATGTTAACTGACTTACCAGGTGGGAGAGCCCCGGCTCCTTGCTCTTTTCTGTGTCACCCCTGCTTTTACAAACTCACCTTGTAAGTGCAACAGTGTGATTTAATACAGCGTGTCATAACAGTGAGGTATTTGAATCATTGCTCGTCTGACTTAAAACTGCCTGCTAGCTGTCAGTTTTTGTCTTGTTTGGTTTTATTTGTTTATCTCAATTTCCATGAAAGGATTCGAAAGGGTCTCTGCTACCTTTATTTTAGTTGTATTCCAGTTCCTATCATGTATTATTCATTTTGGCCAGCGCGCATGCTCCTTTTATAGCTATGTTTACATGAACGTCCTGCTCCATTTGTTTGTCTTCGATCACCTGGTCTTGGTTTTAATTTTCGCACTACAGATGAAAGCTGTGGCACAGGCGGGGGGCGCATCCGGGCAAAGAGGCCAGGCAGGGTAAGACCTCGCTACTGTGCAGCGGCCAACTGCCATTAGCCCTAAAGTTAAAGCAGGCAGAATTCACATTTTCTTCCGTATGCCACCAAAACCTTATTCCCTGAACATAAAGGTCAACATAACTACTCGGTAATTTTGTCAAATTTATCAAAGGCAGTTCACATCAAGAAGGGAAACTCACAGGGCAAGCCCGGGTGACTCCAGCCCTCAGACAGGTGTAAATTGCCTCCTCCCACCGGCATCTGCTGTGTTGCAAACTCGAATGACCCTAGGGAGGGCACAAGCATTCCAGTTTTCTTCCACACTGCTGATTTCTATCCCCACCTCAGGGTTTTATTTACCTTTCTGGCCCCTGAAGGCATTTGAGTTTGTGACCTGTGCTCTAGACTTCCAGCAAATCTCATCTTTGACACAATTTCTTATGATAAGGAATTAACTCAGCATCTTACACAAGAGTTCAGTCAATACTGCTTTAACTACTTCAGAGTACTTCCCATAGGCTGGTCAGTCGCTGCCTAGATGAAATAACCATGTCACCCAGATGCCTGCGGTACTGGGTCCAACTCCTCGCCTTCTGCTCCCAAAGCATCGTTCACACGGCCATCAAGTAACCTTTCATCATTTTATTTCCATCACCTACAGGATGAAGTTTGAACTACCCACACTGGCATCCATACTCACTGGATCCTTCATAATTCAGCCTCCATATACATGCTCAAACCTACTCTTCTACGTCACCAGCAAAAACTCTCCACTCCCGCACACACGCCTGACCCACGCCCGTTTACGTGCTCATGAGCACTGTACTGTTCCCTTCCCTTTCTGCCTTTCCAATGTCCCCTCATCGAAACTCAGCTCAAACCCCACCTTTTCCATTACACTTTCCTCACTGAGCCTAGTCTCAAATGGTCTTGCTTCCATTTATATGTAAATACTTGATAAATATTTGTTGAATGACTGAATGAATGAATTCCAGCATGACCACATTCTTACTACTGGATTATGGCCAAGTTGCTTAACCTTTTTAAGATATAGTTTATTTATAAAAATGTAATTTGGGCAAGGATTAAATGAGATGTTATGTATGAAGTTATATAGTTGAGATGATAAATAGATTTGATAGATATTAGCTAGTACAGAGACTCAAGAAATACTGGCCCGACTTACTGCCATTCTACCCCTACCTCTTAAGTGTTTAGTTAGCTTTTCAGTTACACACGTCGTCTCTTCCCAGCTACATCGTTGAAGTAAGGACCCATTTCTTAAAATTTTTGGTATCCCTCACTACAGCTAGCATAGAACTTTGCTAATAAATACATACTTGTTGATTGAGTGAGTACTAGGAAAGCTTACTTATGAAAAAATATGCCTGAAGACTGGCTGCTAACACTGGAATTTCCTCCTTCAGAGACATTTTGTTCAAAGTTAAGCATTGCCCCAGTTAAAATCCAAACCTGCATGAGAGAGAGAAACATACTATATTTCATTGGTTATTAATATCTGTGCTCATCAGACTTTTTTTTTACAAGGAGCAGAAACTACCAGCAGGTTGTGCTATTATATGGGGTATGGTGATTGGTTTAATTTAACACATTAGTATAACTTAGCTTATTTAATGTCTTTCCAACATGATTTCCAACACGATTGCAGCGTAGAAATAGGAGGGAAAGAGAAACACAGATTATGCTCTGTCAGAGAAGGAGAAGGACGGAAGCTGGGGGCAGTGCATCGTCAGAATTGTAGCATGAGGCAGTCAGCATTAGGGTGGCCCCCGGCACAGTTTGCCCAGCTCTAAGGGTTTCCCCAGGGTTCAGGGCATTCATGCTAAAATCAGGAAAATCCTAGGCACACCAGGATAAGTTGGTCACCCTATTAGGCAGCAGAAAAATCCCACTGAAAGACACTCTTTCAAAGTTCTAATTTCAAAAGTGTGCTTAGCGTCAGTACTGCCCATAGAGCAGTACAGACCTGTCCCTGCCGGTCATCGGTTGGTTAGGGCAAAATGCTAACGAGGCCAAGGCTAAAGGTTTGGTTTGACTTCCCAGAAAACCTTGCTCTCTTCCACAATGCAAATCTGTGCACCTCTCTTAAAGCAGCCATTCTCCAACGCCACGTACTGATCACAAGGAGAAGGAGAGAGAGCGCAGTTGCCGTGGCACGAATCCTGTACTGCCGCTGCAACGCTGGTGGAGGGACACTGATGTTTTCCCCGTGCGTGATCATTTGTCACACAAAGAAACTCATTTTCTGAACTTCCTGCTTTTTAAGTAAAATGTGTATCTAGATAATAATAATAATACACAGCAAAACTGCAAATCTCCATAGCATATTCTCCCAGGCAATTTCATTGTGATCTGTGAGACAGGCCCGGCAGGTCTCAAGACGAGCGTGGCTAGGATCGCTGCAGCGCCAGCAACAGGGATGGAGCTCGAGCTCTCGCCACCTAAGGTCTGTCTGTGTCTGTTGCTGTCGTTTGGCGCAGGTCACAGCCTTCTGTAACCAGCAAAACACACGACCTGAATGTCGAGACTCCCTTGACTTCGTAATATCACTTCCATAAAAACTCCAGGACCCTCCAAGTCCCAAGGACCAGGGAGTGCAGCCTTAAACCTCTTGTGCATCTTCCAAACACTGGCCGCAACACATGAAGCCAGCTGGTGGCTTCCTGCACGCTTAGAGGCATAGAGCACATCCACGTTCCTCGCCCTGTTGCTCAGGCTTGGGTGTTTGCTGCCAGTCTCTCCACCTCATTGTTCTGTTTTGTTTCAGTGTCCACTTTTCCATAGAGTTTCCTGCATGAATTCCCAGATCTAGTGGTGTTCATATTAGTAAACTAAAAGCTGAATCTCCCAAACATGTTTATTTCTCCTTTGGAGCAAATATGGGTAGGATGAAAACCACCCTGTGTCATGCTGATACGTTACTCATTAACTGGCTTTAAAAAAAAAAAAGCCTCAGCTAGATTAGGAGTCATGTGAAGAAAGTTTCCTGCAATGTGAGAATTGAGCAAAGCTGAAACGTGGAGATTTTTATATTACTTGGGAGATTCGGAAATGACTCTTTGAGCTTATTCTTGGACTCAGCAATCGACAAGCGCACAATGGTGAAGAAGAGGCCGTCTTCCAGTGACACGGTGCTCCGGTTTGCGAGTCCAGGCAGCCCAAGGAAGGCCAGTGTGGAGGCCCCCCACAGCTCCACGGACAGCCCCAGCTGGGCGTTTCTCAGGTGGGTACAGCCTGGGCCTGGCCATCCTGTCTGTCGCCTGGCGACCGTGGCTGCCCAACCCGTGACCCTCAGAGAGCTCCTTACTCATTTCCTGAGGTGGCAATCTGCCAAGGGAGGAGCAACTTAGCTGGGGGTTGGAAGTGGGTAAATAACAGGAAATATAATCTTCTGAGCCAATAAAACTATCATCACTATTAAAGGAAAATAATTTTAGTGCCTTTTTAGTACTTTTTTAGTACTGGATAAGTGGCCATTGTGTAGTTCCTCAACTCTTGACTTACTCTCAGGTTCATAGAGAGTGAAGCCAAATAGTTGAACCAAAAACATACTTTGGTATCAAAATTACCTGGGTTGTTATTAAAGTAGTAATTATTACAATATTAAGATAATTGCCTTCTTTTTGCCTTTCTAAATTAAATATTAAAATAGTACTAGCTGTGCTCTGGTTCAAGTATTCACCGCATAGCGATTTATGGCAGCTTTGGAACATTAATATCCACATCAGCGTAACTCTGATAACTACATGCTTTTAATGAAATTTTATTTATTAACTCTTTATTCATTCTGTCTCATAATAATTCTCTAGCAACTTATAAAATGTAGAAATTAAATATAAGTGGAAATGGAAACAAAAAGTTTTTCATTCAACTTGTGTGTAAACTTTAATGTAACATTCAGGTAGACTTTTCAGGTGAAGGCAAAAGAATAACCTGCATGTGCAAACTTTACTTTTTGATAGCACCATATTCAGAAAGCCAAGGGTTAAACATGATCATTTATTTTAAAAATCATTTTAAATCATTTACCCAAAAAAGTGCTTTAAATTATGGCTTTCAGAAATTACACAGAAAACAAAGAAATTCTGTTTTACTTAATGGCATTCACATATTAGAATGTCAGGTTATGAAAACAAATTAAATAATTTTGAAAAGAAATTTTAGAGACCAAGAGACTGAATTTATGTAAATTGTTGCTTAATACATCTGTTTTCAAGTTAGCTTAATTTTTCCTATGCATCATTAAAATGAGTCTATCTTATTTGCATTAGTGGTTGTGTGAGCAAGAGTACAATCCCGTGATTTAAAATGTAAACTCTTGCATTATTTTTATATTTTCCTGAACTTCAAGTGTCTCTTGAATTGCTTTGTCTGCTCATTCATCTCTTAAGTATACTGTCATGCAAACTCTTCTCTGAACCTCAAGCTCTAACCAGGAAAAGTAAAATTAAATTAAAATGTATCAGCAAACAAATATTAAAACAAATACAAAATACATAAAGTATAATGTGAATAAATATAATTTCATAATTATAAATAAATAAAAATAAAATAAAAACCTGCATCATTCTAAGTTCAAGCCTCTTTCAAAAAGAGCCCAGACCTGTGTATCCTGCATATTTGAATATTCAACATCGAATCTCTGTACCTATAAGTGTATCTCTGTATCTATAAGCATCTATAAGTGGTTTTTTAAAAAAGTGTGTTGGAACCACACTAAAAACACTTGGCATATCTCCAAATGCTCATACTTTGAGCACTGAAGGATTTATTTAATGTATTATGTATAAAATCATTGAAAATAATTTGTAGAAGCATTCAGGCATATGTTGGTTAAGTTTTTGAGGTCAAAAATAAGACCACGTAAACACTTTCCTTTACCTTCTAAATAACTATTAAGAATTTGTGTTTGCTTTGGTATCCCATTATCCTTTCCATGAACTAGAGCTAATAAAATATACTCACAGATCAACAAACCACTTCAAATAGTCACAGATATAAGTTATGCAGTGTTTTTACTCAATCACTCAATTCGACAAAGGTTTATTGAGTAACTATTATATACCAGGCTATGGGGCAGGCGCAGGGGATACTATCACGAGCGAGACAGACTTAGACCCTGCTGTCATGGAGGTTATTAGTCTAATGTCGAAGATAGGCTAAAAAAATGGACAAACGCATATGCATATACATAAATACATAATTCAAAAATCAATATATGCTAGAGGAAACAACACAGATAGCAGAGTTGCTGGGCCCGTAATATTCGTTAAAGGAAACAAATCGAAGCCAAGATAGGGACAACTAATTTAGATGGGGTGGCAAGTAAAGGACTCTCCAAGGAAGTGACATTTAGGCGACTGAGAGGATGAAAAGGGCCAACCATGGTAAGACTGGGAAGGAGCATGGTAAGCTGAGGTGGGAAAGAGCTGGCGTCTCGGGCAGCCTGGGGTGAGCGGCACCCATGACATCAGAGAGAGCAGCAGATGACGAGAAGCCATTGAGGGTTTGGAATAAGCCAGGGGTGATTTCCAGCGTTGTACTCATTCAAGCAATGCTACCTCCTGCCTGTGTCCCTGGGGCGCTTGTGCAAGAGTGTTTTTAAGGTACCTACCTAGGAGAGGAATCACTCAACATAGATTATGAACGTGATCAACTTCCCCTGTTAATGTCAAGCTGTGTTTCAAAGTTTTGAGCCATTTACGCCACCACTAGCAGTTATTCTCTGCCTCAACACTGGAATTGTCTGGCTTTAAATTCTTCCAGTCTGGAAGGTGAGAAATGGCATCTCGATGTGGGTTTTACATGCATTAAGCCATCAGGAGAAGCATATTTTCAACATGTTTATTGGTCATTCTTGTTTCTTCTTCTGTAAAATGCCTGCTTATAACTTTATAGCCCTTTGGGGGAGGGAGATCTCTATCTTTTTCTTCTTTTGAGAGAGTTTTTATAAAATATTCCAGACACTGATCTTTTGTTAGTTACAGGTGTTGCAAATGTTTTATTCCAGCATACGGCTTGGCAGTTTACACGCTCTGCTATGTCCGAATTCTTCTTTTAAATTATTAATTTATTAATTATTTTCTTAATGATTTGTGCTTTCTGTGGCTTGAAAACCTTCCCTACCCTGAGGTCATATGAATGTTCTTATCTATTTTCTTCTAAAAGTACGTTTTCCTTTCAAACTAGGGTTCTTTATGTGTTTAGAATTTATTTCCATTCCTAGTGTGAATCAGGCCAACATTCTAATTTTTTATATAGATAATAAATTGCCCCATATTATGTATTGAATAGTCTGTCCTTTCCTCACAAAACTGTAATGCCAGCTTTGTCATATGTCACTGTCTTCATTACTACTGCTTTACAATAAAAAATCTGGTATGACAAGACTCCTTACATAGTTAGAGGTGTTTGACTACTCTGGACCTTTTTTCCTTCCATTTAAATTTTAGAATCAGGTCATTGAGTAAAAACTTTTTTTTAACTGAACATGCATTGAATCTATTGCTCGATTTGAGGAAATTTGACATTTTCGTGGGGTTAAAAATACCCATTCATAAACATGGTATGTTTCTCTATTTATTTAGGTCTTTAATGTCTTTTGATAAAGTTTTAAAATATTCTACACAAAAATCTTACACATTATTTGTTAGATTTATTGCTAGGTACTTTACGCTTTTGCTATTGTAAATATATTTTTATTTTTTTCCTTTTTTTAATTTGTATATATTCATGGGGTACAAGTGCAATTTTGCTACATTGATATTAATGTATTGTATGGCGGTGAAGTCAGGGCCTTGGGCGCATCCATCACTGGAGCAATGCACATTGTACCCACCCAGCACTTCCCGTCATCCACCTCCTCCCACCCCCAGCCCCACCGAGTCTCCATCGTCCATCATTCCACACTCTGCTTCCATGTGTACACATTATTTAGCTCCCACTTGTCAGTGAGAACATGCAGCATTTGTCTTCCTATGTCTGAATGTTTCATTTAAGATAATGGCCTCCATTCCATCCATGTTGCTGCTTGATTTCCAATGAATGTTATTTCCCTACGTGTACATAAGTGTTGATCGATTAGATTCAATTTAATGGTGAGTACCTGTGGTGTTTGTTTTTCCATTCTTGTGATACTTCACTTAGAAGAATGGTCTCCAGTTCCATCCAGGTGAGTAGAAGAGGTATTAGGTTCACCATTTTTTTTTTTATGGTTGAGTAGTACTTCATGGTATACATATACCACATTTTGTTAATCCACTCATGGACTGATGGGCACTTGCGTTGTTTCCACATCTTTGCAATTGTGAATTGTGCTACTATAAACATTTGAGTGCAGGTATCTCTCTATAGAATGTCTTTTTTTCCTTTGGGTAAATACCCAGTAGGGGGATTCCTGGATCAAATGGTAAGTCTACTTTCAGTTCTTTGAGAAATTTCCATACGACTTTCCATAGAGGATGTACTATTAATAGTTTGTAGTCCCACCAGCAGTGTATGAGTGTTCCTATCTCTCCACATCCATGCCAATATTTGTTGTTTTGGGACTTTTTGATAAAAGCCATTCTCACTGGAGTTAAGTGATATCTCATTGTGGTTTTGATTTGCATTTCCCTGATGATTAGAGACGTTGAGCATTTTTTCATATGTTTCTTGACAATTAGTCTGTCTTCTTTTGAAAAGTTTCTGTTCATGTCTTTTGCCCACTTTTTAATGGGGTTATTTGATTTTTTCCTTGCTGATTTGCTTGACTTCTTTATAGGTTCTAGTTATCAGCCCTTTATTGGATACATAGCATGAAAACATTTTCTCCCGTTCTGTAGTTTGTCTATTTGCTTTAATGATTGTTTCCTCAGCTGTGCAGAAGCTTTTTAATTTGATCAGGTCCCATTTATTTATTTTTGTTGTTGCTGTGATTGCTTTTGGGGGTCCTCTTCACAAATTCTTTGCCTAGGCCAATGTCTATAAGAGTTTTTCCAACATTTTCTACTAGAACTCTTATGGTTTAATGCCTTAGTTTTACATCTGTTATCCTCCATGAGTTGATTTTTGTGAATGGTGAGAGGTGCAGATCCTGTTTCAGTCTTCTACATATGGCTATCCAATTTTGCCAGCACCATTTATTGAATAGGGATTCTTTTCCCCAGTGTATGTTTTTGTCTGCTTTGTCAAAGATCAGATGGCTATATGGGGATGGTTTTATATCTGAGTTCTCTCTTCCGA